ATTTATTTGTATAGCGGCCAAGTCAGAACAGAAGTTATCTCAGCACTTTTCAAATAGAGCAAGGTTCTAGACCGAACTCCTTATAACATTATTTACAGAGACCACAAATACCACCATGAGCAAGCAAGCACTTGGCGTCGGGGGCAAGGAAAAACTGGCCTGGTTAGATGCAGAAACCTAGGACAGACCCTCCGGCTTAGGTGGGTGGTCCTTGACAGTTGGGGTGAGAGAGAAAGGAGAGAGAAGAGACTGATGATGATGATAATGAACATGAAGAAGATGATGACAACGGACAAACAGCACGATGGGGGACAATGGAGCAGTGACAATATTAATAATAGTAACTGTATAATAAAATATTAATTAATAATAACAATAATATCAGGTGATATTAAGAATGGGGAGGTCAAGCAGGACCATGCAGCAGTCACCAGGATTCATGGAACCTGCAAGACGAAAATCTCTCTCTTTTATACTAGGTGTAAGTGAAAACCGGTGAAAACTATCAGGGGCGGCAGGGCAGACAATTACAAAGGCAGGAAAATCACACAAAGGGAGGAAGTCAAGGTCTGAATTGTGAGGGAAAAGTTGAGTACAAAATAAAACAGGAAAGACTAAACATGAAACACTTAACATGAACATGACTAAAATTAACACAGTTGACGAGACACAACACATTAACATTTTTGTATGGGTTTCTTAAGTTTTTACTGATGTTTCCCTTGCAATTCCCACAGGTAGATCCCATTTCAAGGTTCCTCTGTTCATGAAGTTTCTCCATGGCCCCCCAATGATCTCCTAATGTTCCTAATGTTCCCCCAAGATTCCAGTAAAGATGCTCCTAAGGCCTCATTAGAATTTTCAATAGAATGTCCCTTGAATATTTCCCTAATGTTCTCTTCTCACCTTCAGGAGGAAAATGAGATCCCCTCCAGTGTTTTCATAAAAGATCCTCCTCCATTCCCTCGTGATGAGATTTTGGAAGAAGGCGATGAATCAGCACCAGGCGTCGTTGATGGCAATCGATCCCAGGAGGGTGGGCTGCAGACCATCGACCTATCATCTGATGAGGATGTCGGGCTGGACGCGGAGCTAGAGGAAGAGGAAATGTGGCCTCATGATCTGGAGAACATGGAGAAATCCAGAGCTGAGAAACTGAAACGCTCCAGTCTGAAGAAGGTAATAATCACAAACAGGTGTACAGACTGACAGACAGGTGTACAGAAAGACAGTGATATGTAACTGATTGTCTCTCTGCAGGTCGACAGTCTGAAGAAGGCATTCTCCAGGCAGAACATCGAGAAGAAGATGACAAAGATTGGAACAAAGATTGTTTCTCAGGAGCAACGAGAGAAGATCAAACAGAAAACCTCCAGCCTGAAGGTTTCACCTCTGACATTCAGTATCAGAAAGGTACTGAGATCTCAAAGTTCCTCTAAGGTTCCCCAAACATTCTATAAAGGTACCCCAAAGGTTCCCTAAAGGTTCACCAAAAGTTACGGTAAGGTTCTATTAAGGTTCCCTTAAGACTCCAATTCAGGTCACCCGAAGTTCCCAGAACAATCCCCAAATGTTCCCTAGTGTTTCCTTCACATTTTCCTAAGTTTCCTCTAAGGTTGCTCTGAGCCTCCAGTAAAGTTCTCCCAAGGTACCGCTGATGTTCCTTCGAAGGTACCCTCTGCAATTCTACTAAGGCTGCCCTAACACTTCAACTTAGAGAACCCAAGGTTCTCCCAATGTTTTTTCCAAACATTCTCCTAAAGTTACCTCAAGGTTTGCCCACGAAACCCCCTGGTTCCTGAAGTTCCCTCAAGGTTCCAGCATTTTTTTGTTTTGTTTTATTTCCTGTGACTTCTCCCCTCCATCTCTGTTTTTAGCCTCGCAGCAGCTCCGACTCTCAGCCCACTGAAGGCTCTACTCAGGCTGGCGAGGCAGTGATCACTGAGGCTGAGGTCCAGCTCTCCCCACTGGGTGGCACTGACCAGGAGGTCCCCTTCACTGAGGTCCACGCCCAGCTGGCCCCAGCTGAGCAGGAAGAGAAGGAGGAGGAGATGAAGGAGGAGGTGAAAGAAGAGGAGGAGAAAGAGGAGGAGGAGGAGAGGGGAGGTGAGGAGGCATCAGGTGTGGAGGCAGATCTGTCGGTGGTTTCAGAGGGAGTGAGTCAGGATTACGCTCTGTCCACCACCCTGCGCCAGGAGGAGAAAGAGGAGGAGAAAGAGGAGGAGAAAGAGGAGGAATCCTAAACACTCTTCATGGAGCTGTGATCGATCAGAGTTCAGATCTGTGTTGTGATCGATCAGAGACTGAAGTTTTGTCTTGTTTATTGATTAATATCTTTTTAGTAAGTGTCTGCACACAGGTTGATTGATTGATTACAGATATCGGATCAGCTGATATTTAATGTCTTTATATGTCACCATGAAAACTACATATCTCCAAAAATCCAAAAGTTTAGTTTGAAGTTGGAGAATTTTAATATTTAATTCTTCAACTTATCTGAAAACCTAAACCTTATGATATGTTGTTTTTCTTGGTCAGCAATGTTCCTTTCAGGTTCCTTTTTACGTTTATTTGTTTTATTCAAAACCAGCTAATAATAACTAATGATCAATAACAGATAATTAACATCGATATAGCGTAAAAACATCAGTGGAACCTGGTTCTCAGGAATTACTGGAGGTAAACATGGTGCTGAACAGATCCCTGAGAACATTAAACATTCCTCTGACATTATTCCAATGTTCCTGTTGTGTATGAATATACTAATCTTTTTCTCACCTTGAGGTTCCTCTAAAGTTCTCCTACTGTATCCCAGTTATTTCCCTAACGTTTCTCAAAGTTTAGTCAAACATTCACCAAAAGATCCCTTTAACTAAAGTACCTCTAAGGTTCCACTGAGGTTGCCCATTGTTCCCCCAGGGTTCCCATCGAGTTTATGTCAGGTTCCACTTGAGTTCCCATAGAGTTTCTCAGAGGTTCCTCTAAGGTTCACCTAGAACTCTGCTAAGGTACTCCCAAGTTTTGCCCAAGGGTCCCCAAAGCCCCTACCAGTTCCTCCAAATGGTTTTCCACTAAAGTTTTTTCCAAAGGTTTCTCCTATAAGGTTCCTCTACCTTTGTCTTAAGGTACCCCAACATCGTCTAACATTGGTCTTCCAGCGTTTTCTTAGCATTCCATTAAGGGTTCTGCTAACATTCCAACTTTTTTTTAAGGTTCTTCTAAAGTTCCCATAATATTCTGTCTATGTGTCTGTTACTGAAATGAGTTCTATCTGAAATGATCTGTGTTCCAATGCTCAATTAATGATCAATAAGTCGATCAGTTTGGTTCCTCTAGCCTCTGTGTGTGTGTGTGTGTGTGTACACTGAATAATAACAATATAACTGCATATTATTCACCCTGAAGTATTGATAACTGACATCTGTTCTGTTAAAGACTGATGATGCATATTGATGAATATTGATGACATAAACAGTCTGTTTTGTTAAAACTGAACAATTTAAACTGTTTTATCTCTTTTATGTTACTGTTTTTCATTTTATTTTGACAGAAATAGAAACTTCCTGCTGCCAAAGAACATTTCCTGTTTGACGTATGTTACCTGTCCGATTGTCAATCATCCAACAGGTGTGTGACAATTACCTGAAAATAAAGAATAAAATCAACTTCCTGTCTCCTGGCTCTCTTTTTAACTCTTAGTTTTATGAACTGAAATGAGTTAATGTCAATAAAAGTAAAAGCAGTAATACTCCATTACTTTTATTAATTACTAGTACGAGTACTGCATTCAAAATGTTATGTTTATTTGTGTACTTCAAGTATCTAAAGTATTTGTTATGTAGAGGGCTCTAAAACATATTAAAGTTATTATTATTGTTGGTACTTTATACATTTACAGTATTTATACTATGTTGCCTCCTTCTGGATGAACTCTGAACTCTGTTCTTCTTCTGTGGTTCAGTTTATTCAGCAGGTCTTTGTAGTACAAGTGCAAGTTTAAGTACAGTTAAGTATTTTCAGCAACATTGGCCAAAAAGTAAAAGTTATTTATTATTAAGAAGTGTTAATACCCTTCAAAACAGGATTATTAATGTATAAATATCATTCTAATGTAGTTGTTTTCTGTTGAATCTGAAGCTTTATATTATTATTATTATTATTATTATTATTATCATTATTATTGAAACAAAATGTTCTGTAGTTTAAAAGAACCTTTTAGAAGTTCTTTACAGAACCTGTAAATTATTCTCTGTAGAATCGGTTGTTTCCAGTCTGGTTCCTACTGAGGCTCTGCTGACCTTTGACCTCAGCTGTCTCTGAGGAAGGGGGTGGGGTCAGAGAGTGGGGTGTTCTCTCCAGGAGCCAATGGGAGGGCCCAGGGGTGGGGCTTAGAACCAACACAACCAATAGAGGAGCAGGGGACGGGGCCTGATACGTCACTCCACATGCACAGTGTTTGGTCCTGATTCTTCATCCAGAGTACTGAGCACAGTACTACAGAGTACTACTACAGAGTACTACTTGTACTAGATGCAGTATTTGTCCTGTAGCAGCAGATGGATTCAGAACCCCCCTCTGGCCTCTCTCTGGTCTCTGTGTTATCTCTGTTAGCATGTAGCTTCCAGGTGTTAGCAGCCGCCATGTTAACACGCAGGTTTGGTGGGCGGAGCTCTGCAGAAGACAAATGGATCCTGCTGTGGCTCTTCTATGATGTCATTGTCCACCTGACGTTGGTATGACCAATCAGATTTTACTTCTTGTATCGAGTATATAGTTTAATATTCGTTGTTTATTTGTTCTTATTTGTTTGTCCTCAGGAAGGTCCATTTGTTTACCTCTCTCTGGTTGGGACGGTGAAGACGTCTGAAGGTCCTCTTGCTGAGCTCTGTGAGTATTTACTTTTTATTTCATTCAGTACTTCAATCAGTAC